ATCAGTTTAGAACCACCACTTATTCTTCTCTCTTGCTGTATGTTTGTGTCTCCCCAAAATTCATTTGTGAATTTTTAACCCCTACCCAAGAACATGACTTCAGTTAGAAATAGAAGCATGCAGATATAAATAGTCAAGTCATGATGGGGTCACATTGAAGTAGGCAGGCTTCTAATCTAAAATGACTGTATCTTTATACAAAGGAGGAATGTGTACATATAAACATGCACAGAGGAAGAACACCATGTGAACATGAGGGTAGGGATCAGGATGATTTGTCTATAAGCTAAATATATAATATTTTAAATATTATAAAATATATAATATTTTATATAAATATAAAATATTGCCAAGAAAACAGCAGAAGCAAGAAGGGAGGCATCAACCAGATTCTCTCTCTTGCCTTCAGAAGGAAACAACCCTGTCAACACCTTGATCTGGGACTTCTAGCCTTTAGAACCATAAGATTATAAAAAATCTGTAGATACCACCCAGTTTATGGTACTTTGTTCACACCAGCCATAGAAAACTAATGTCTCTTCACCACTTCCCTTGCAAGAGGGAAGGGCTGGAGACTTGGCACCAATATACTTTCTAAATACTGCTGTACCTCACTCAAATAGCAAACCTCATAACAGTCATTCAATATACCACATGCGGGATCCCTGGGTGGCGCAGCGGTTTGGCGCCTGCCTTTGGCCCGGGGCGCGATCCTGGAGACCCGGGATCGAATCCCACGTCAGGCTCCCGGTGCATGGAGCCTGCTTCTCCCTCTGCCTGTGTCTCTGCCTCTCTCTCTGTGTGTGTGTGTGTGTGTGACTATCATAAATAAATAATAATAAAAATTTAAAAAAAAAAAACAAAAAACAATATACCACATGCACGGATGTACAGTTGACTCATAAGAGTGTTCCAGCACTTCTAAGAAAAATAAGTGACGCTTTTATTAAAGAAGCTGACATTTGGGTGTTATTTAGTTGATTTTGTTAATGAAAAAGTTTACATAATTTCAAGGGACAAGGAAAAGCTTTATCTGTCTTTTGATATGCTGAGATTTTCTGATAGAGCTTCAGGGAAAAATAGCACTAGTTACTAAATGGCATTTAGTTTATTGATTATTGGACCTGATCTAACTAGTAATCTAACATAGAAAAGTAGCCATTTCAACTATAATTTTTATATGCTTAATTTATTATTTTTTTAAATTTGTTTTTATTAGTGCTCAATTTGCCAACATATAGAATAACACCCAGTGCTCATTCCATCAAGTGCCCCCCTCAGTGCCCATCACCCAGTCACCCCCACCCCCCCCACCTCCCTTTCTACCACCCCTTGTTCATTTCCCAGAGTTAGGAGTCTCTCATGTTCTGTCTCCCTTTCTGATATTTCCCACTCATTTTTTCTCCTTTCCCCTTTATTCCCTTTCACTATTTTTTATATTCCCCAAATGAATGAGACCATATAATGTTTAATTTAGAGTGTAAGAGCTTTTGTTAGTATTTTTTAAAAATCTTCTAGTGTTCTCTTTGTTCCTGTGTGTATGCATTTTGGTAATTTGGAAAGCTTACACTTAATGCATAAATGGTTATTTTAACTATAACATATTGATAACTATTAACCTTCTATTTATTTAAATAGTATCTATTAACTTTGTTATAAGCATTGATAAAGCTAGAATATCTTCTCTTTTCCCCTTTATTCTATCACTGAATTTCATTTTACAGTATTATTTTTGCTAATGTTTTCTTCTGTTCTGTTATACTTCTAGTGTTCACTTCATGGGCTATAAAACGTAAGAATATCACTATATTTATACCACCTGTCCTTATTTGTCCCTCTTCTCCCAGCTTTTGTCAGGGTAATAAAATGTATATTCTTCTCTAAACTGTCATGTCTACGTGACGTTCAGTCTTGGTCCTGTAGTTACGTAGACACAGTACTCCCCCCAAATCTTTTTTGCTGTAATTTTTGCACTCTTTTATGGATGGGCTAAAAATTTTCCTCCAAAAGATTTTTTAATGAAGACTCTTGGCAGCAATATTCCCTAAGGTCTTTCATATTCAAAAGTACAATTGATAGTTTGGCTGGGTATAAGTTTCTGAAGCCATATTTTATATTCCTAAGGATTTTTAAAGCAATCCTACCTGCCTTTCAGCATTTGCTGAAGCTATTTTCTATCTCATACTAGGATTCAAATTGTTTCCCTTTGGCTTCCCAAAGGATTCTGTCTTTATCTTTGATATGTAGTAACTTCATGAGGGTATGTCATCATATTGGCTATTCTGTGTCATCTCTTTCCGAGAACATAGACTAACCTTTCAAACTATATGTATATCCAAGTCTTTCTCTGTGGTTAGTTTTTTTCTTTAATTATAAATCTTAATATCTGCTTTAGTTGATTATTTCCATTTTCTTCCTAAAAGTCTCCAATTATAAACATAATGGACAACCCCATCTGCCTTTGATATTGTTAATTTCTCTCATGAATCCTTTTTAACTTTTCCGATTCCTACATTCTTAAATCTACTGCATTTATAGCAGCTTTTGCTCTTCCTCTCTTCCTTGTCTTAGCTTCCCTTCTATCCTCCATTTCTTTCCTTAAACCAACCAGTTCCATTATGTTTTTCTTTTCTTTATGTATTCTTATGATAATTTTCTAGGCTTTAGGATTCTGACTTGATCTCTGGATTTTAGTGGTGATTGCTTCATGAGGTGGTTTTGTTGTGCTGTGTTCATAGTGAAAACTTGGTCACAATTTAATTTTCTACATGGCAATATTTTTTGTTGAGTGTTTATTATTTTGATTTGTTTTTCCTGTTCCATTCCTCTCTTGCTCTGCAAAATATCTATCTGTAAAATTGGCAACTTTTGTAATTTTCTTTGTGACTACTCATCTTTGAATAAAATTCCTTGCTTCCAAGCCAGTTATTTCCAGAAGGTTTTGATGAAGAAGATGCTAGGGAGATTTTAAAGGGATTTACAAGTTTTTCAACCTTTCTTTCCCCAACTGAAAGGAATAGACAATTATAAGATTATTTTCTGCCCCACAGGTACTGTTGGCCTTTAAATCAGGCAACTTTATAATTTTTAATCCTAGATGCTTAGCTTCTCATCATCAAATAGGGAGTGAAAGTGAGGTGGTAAATGATAGTAGCCTACGAGATTAATTATATTGTCCAGTTCTTATATCAATGGGGAAAAATGAGATCTGTTACATGTGGTACCTGAGTTTATAGTTGGGATGAGTAGAGGACAGTAATAACAACAATTGCCATTGAGTGTTATACCAGATATATACATGAACACATATAAGGTATGAATATAGAGAGAGGAAATTTATAATAACGATGTAAAGTAGACATTATTTTGCTTATTTTTCAGAAGAAACTAAGACTGAGCAAATAGATTTTCAAGGTCAAGTAGCCAAGAAAAGGTGGCAGAGGTGAAATTAGAACTAGGTCTGTGTGAATCAATTCTAATGCGTTCTCAACCTCACTGACTCTCCAGTGGTTGCTACATAATTAACCCTTATAGGAATTTGTTGGCCTCCCTATTTAATTCATACAACTGAATAATTACAGATTGGTTAGATACTAATATGCCCCTGGCTTCAACCACTATTGAGGGCTCCAAAACTTGATTCTCTTGATCTACATAGATATAGTGGTATAATTCCAGCATTCTCCTCACCAAATATCGCGGGGTATTCAAAGGCATACCTAATATGTAATCCTAATGAATCCTACTCCTTACCAATTTTTAGGTCTTACAGAATGTCATTTATCTTCCCAAATGTTACAGTAATATTTTGTAGTTGTTTTGTCAAGAGAAGGAAGACTTTCTTTATAAATTTATGATGATTCAACATGACTTCCAGATCAGTTAGACTTATGCCTTCTTTTGTAATAAAACAATTTAAGATAGTGTTTTCATATCAGATTATGAAGTTGTTTCTGATTCACATGTTCATATGCCTTAGAAATGAGATTCTTATTGGCAAATATGCAAAAGTTTTGTCTTAAGAAGTTCATAGACTTCATAACAATGGTTTCAGCAAATGAAATATTAAGTACCTACAGGGAAATTGAGTAAAGCCTCATTGGAAACCCTCTGATGATGATTACTTATAAACTTAAATGAGAGAAAAAGAGTAAATAGGATCAACTGGACTTGTAGGTTTTTTTCCTGAGATAAAAACCAACTGTTCGACATGTTTAAGTTGATTGAGAAACTAGAAGAATTCAGGTAAAAAGTCGAATAAGCACTCACTCTTTGTGCAAAATTAGCCATTACTCCATCCCAGATGTGGAGATGGTATTTTAGTATGGTATTTTCTTGGGAGGAATGGTTTTGTTGTTTTTGTATGGTTTCAGAGGTCAGATCAGACATGTCTGTGCAAACCAGGCTTAATACCCTCCCTACCCCTGTGATGCTCAGGATTTGGTTGGTTTTCACAGCTCTTAAAGATATCATCCACTAACTCTTTTAAATGGCATGAATGGAATGAAATAATGAAGCCAGAGTCATAAGATGTACTTGAGAACCTCTAATATGAGGAGTAATATTACTATATACCTTGAATTCTAAGATGTCATCAATTATATACTGCATTTATAAATCAAATAATAGCATTTGGAGATTTAAGATATCTCACAAAGGGTACTAATCAAGCGTAAGATTCATCACAATTTCAGAAAATTAGTATATTAAAAAGTGAGAATATATGTTAATATGACCTTTGGTCTTAAGAAACTAATTGGAATGAATCCTTTCCATAGAACTTTCCAGAGTGAAAAAAAAAAGTTACCAAAGATAATGGAATATTAATCACTGCTGAGACTGATGGAAAAATCAAGAATGGACCTGTCATCATATAGTCTTTGGCCCAATTCAGAGTTAGTTATAGAATTGTGGGGAGGGCCACTTACAGACATACAGTTGGAGAACATCACTATATGATTGCTGATATTGATTGCAGAAATGTGATTTATATTCTGCAGGAGCACCAAAAGTCACAGCAGACCCTGAAAATCAGAAATGAGACTTTTAAATCAATATGATATAAAGACGATAAAGTGAAGGAATGGTAGAATGAAGAAAAATTCTGAAGATGTCCAACAAAGTTTTGGAAGATTTTTCCAAGGATATTTATTTGGATGCAGAAGTGTCCCTAGCAAACATGTGGAACTTGAGCTCTTCTTGTTGAGTTACAGTCTGAGGTACCCTCACAGGTAATGTCTGCCTCTACCATCCTATTCAGGAAAGGCATCAGGGAAACATCTTGTAGATGAATTAAATACTTGAGTCTACTAAAAATGTTACACTATGGTACTCATAGGCTGCTGCTCTTGGACAAAGTCCCAGGAGACACTTTATATACCACTGTTTATTGTCACAGACTAAATGATATTCCTGCTCCAGCCTCTGGCCAAACCACGATGTTAAAGACAACATCCCACCACTGGTACCAAAGTTAACAGAAAGTTCATCCCTCATTCCACTTTCCCCTATATCTTTTAAAATAAAAGAATACAGAAAGGCAAATAATATGTGGGCTGTCTTATGTGGGCTGTTGAGAGAGTAGGTGAATAAGAATTTGGGACTTATGGGCCTAAGACACATCCATACAAAGAAAGAGCTAGAGGAATCTTAGAACATTTTAAGAAAGGCTCTCATCTCAAACCATATTGCTCTAGTAACTGTATGTGGTTCTCCTGCCAACTTTGTGTAGAACAACCCAGTTTGATTTTAAAGGGTTATAGGGGAGAAGGAAGTTTCTTCTCCTGGTCAATCCATTGTCAAGTATTGGCTTCTTACTATAAGCTTGGAATGGTGGCACAAAGACCACACAAGAAGTAAGGTATAATTCTTGTAGGAAAAGTTACTAAAATTCTAGTTGAAGAAAATACTAATGCAACAGCTTATGTTGCAGGCAGTTGGTAATTGGGGATTAAACTGTGTTATAATTATAAAGAATCCAAAGGAAGTGGATCATTGAGAACAAAGAAATTCAAGGAGTCTTCTTAGAAACAATGCCAAAAATTGGTGTCTCTCTCAGTAAAAATCAGTATTTAATTCCACAAATGTATGTGTTTCCTATTATGCTAAGAACTACAGTAGGTGCTATTTTTGTTCTTTATTTCTTTGTCTACACATAAATTACTTTATTGTGACTGTCATAATAACAGTTAATCTTTATTTTTTAAAGGTTTTATTTATTTGAGAGAAAACAAGCATGAACAGGGGCAAGGGACAGAAGGAGAAGCAGACTCCCCACAGAGCAGGGAGCCCAATGCAGGGCTTGATCCCTGGACACTGGGACCATGACCTGAGCCAAAGGCAGATGTTTAATTGACTGAGCCACCCAGGTACTCCTGGTTAATCTTTATTTAGAGCCCAAGGAGTATCACACATTATACATACATTTTCCATGATTTAGATAGTGGTGATATCCCCACATTATAGATGAGGTTATTAAGACTTAAAGAAGTAAAGTAATTTGCCTGAAGTCCCACAGCTAGTAAGAAGTCAGAATTTGAAAAAAGAGCTATTTAAGTTAAAAAGCCCTAGCTCCTAACCATGACCATGTGCTACCTCTTTAGCCTATTCTGAAATTAAAGAAGTAACAATTTCTTAGTCATTTGTGCTGCACTTAAGTCTGATTTTCCTCAAAAGTGACATTATAAAAACCTAATTTTGCCAGATTTTATAATATCTTCAGCTACATTATAAAATTCCCAATCCCATAATAACCAAAGTTCAGGTGAATTGAAACAAAACAAATTGACACCAAACAAAACCAAGCTCATAGATAGAAGTTTGGGGATGGGTAAAATGGCTGAAGAGGGTCAAAGGCACAAACTTCCAGTTATAAAATAAGCTATGAAGATATAATGTACAGCATGGTGCCTATAGTTAATAATACTGTGCTGCATAGTGGACAGTTGCTAAAATGAAAGATCTTAAAAGTCCTCAACACAAGAAGAAAAAAAAATATGGCTGTATGGTGATGAATGTTAACTAGATTTATTGTGATCATTTCATAATGTATACAAATATTAAATCATTGTGTTGTAACCTGAAACTTAATATAATATGAAATATCAATTATACTTCAATTTTTTAATTTTTTTAAAGATTTTATTTATTTGGGAGAGAGAGAGCATGAATAGTGGGGAGGTATGGAGAGAAAGGGAGAAACACTGCTGAGCAGGGACCCCAATGTAGGGCTCGATCTCAGGACCCATGAGATCATGACCAGAGGCAAAAGCAGACATGTAACCAACTGAGCCACCCAAGTGTTCCTATACTTCAATTTTTTAAACAATCAGAATAATCCAAGCCCCGTCACAGAGTCAGGAGGGTTGGGAATGTATGCTATGAAATCACAAAGAACAATGGCAGGCCATTTTGGCAATTGCAGCATTCAAAAACTCAAATATTGAAAACCAAACATTTCGAACAGTTTATAGTGTTTTGTCTTTAAAGACTTCATGACGTAAGTGACATTAACAGTCTATGGTGATGAAAAGTAATGTAGCTTTGGGACTACTCAAATGAACAATTATATATGAGCTATTTATATGTACAAAGGCAGGGAATAAGCATTCATTCAATGCTGGCAATGTTCTAAGATTATAAAATACTGTGTACATTAATGTATTTAAAATCAATTATCCTGTTGTAATCCAGTGAATCAGTCTTTTCTTCCATCTTCAGAAATGAGATTTTTCTGTATCTTTGTTATTACAGATATTGACACAAGTTATTTAGAAGAAGAAAAGCAAGACCATTTCCATAGTTGTTTGGTAAGTTTCAGTTCTTAAGTATTCTATGAGGTTTCATTTTAGAATATGATTATCATGTATTTGTTGTTTGTGTCTGTTTAGAATTGCTGACCTCCTTCTGATAACCCCCTTTATTATGAATATATTTTATGTGGCTAAAAGAGATGGCCTTGCCTCAGAGATGTGTACGTGAATTGATGAATCAGAGTATCCATCCCTGTGGCAACAATATTTGGTCCAGGGTGAGCTCCAATCCCATGTGAACCAATCAGAGGCTTTCCTGGGACTTGGGCAAGATAAAATGTTTCAGAAAAAGCTTTTTAAAGGGGCTGAGTCAAAAATAAAATAAAATAAATAAAAAATAAAAATAAAAAAATAAAATAAAGGGGCTGAGTCACTATGTTCCAAAAGGCCACCTGGTCTACCACATGGAGAAAGCCAGCCAAAAACAGGCAAGGAGAGGGAGTATGACATTCCAGTTCTGTGGGCCAGTAAATTCTTCTTTTTGCTTAATTTGAGTTGGGTAGAAAACAGTTGTGTCAAAATATAGTAATTATGGTAATATTGAGACAATGAACAGTGGTAGAATAAATGAGGAATTATAAGATAGACTTAGCATTGACATTGACGTGTGACCTCAAGCAAACTACTTTATCTTCCTGAATCTGTCTCCTTTATTAGTGAATATGCTAATACTGGATCACATAAAATCTGAGGCCCTATTTTATCTTATGTTTTTATTCCAAATTCCATTGTTTTAACTTTATGAATTCACAGTTATCACACCTAGAAGTCATAAGGAATGGTGATCCATATGCATTACTTATTAGCACATCTAATTAATGCAAGGTTTTTATTTTTAGATTAACATCACATCACTCTTCCCAGGCCTCATTCCACCTCTAGCCCAAGCAGCTACCTTGCAAATGTGTGATGTTGGACAGCCACATGGCCTGTGCAGTAGTGTATGCTTGGCTCTGAGAATAATCTATCCCTTCTGCCTGGAAAATCAACTTGAGGACTTGTATTGAATGGATAGAAAATCATAGACAAAGGCCATTATGCTGTGTTTCTTACTTCACGTCTTTTTTTTCCCCTTTTTTATTCCTGTAGTACTTATTCCAACCAATGATTCCCACACAAATGCATAATGAAAACCTCTAATTCTTTTGGAAAGGAGATTCACATCTATTACATCCAAACACAAACATACATGTGCTGACTCTAAGACTAGAAATTCTACTTTAAACTAGCAGCTGTATCATAATTCTGTCAAAGATTATATACTCTTTATCATTTACTTCCTAAACTAAATGAAAAGCATTAATTATGGATATCAGCATGTCTTTTGGATTTCATTGTGTGCAGATTATTAATATTATATACTGTTTTAAAAACCTAAGATCTGTCCTACTGACCTTCTGCTATGTGGTAAGCTGTTCAGGAGGAGTACCAGTTCTGTGTGTGTTCTAAAATGAAAATTAAGCCTCACAATAAGGCCAAGTGAGCTTGCTTAAAATTTAAAAGATGTCATTATCACTTCTTGGATATAGACATAAATAAGACCAGTGCTATAGATAAGCAAGTGAGTTTTCCTAGTTGGTTCCTGTTACAACTACCTGTCGTCGATTAAATTTATTTCCAGTATCCTCAGATACTGGAAGCCCATACATATGGGTTTCACTGTGTATGAATAGTCACCATTTATAAGTTCTGTAGATATTCTTTTTCAAATGCAACTACATATTACTCATAAGATCCTAGACATCCACAGAGATATGTATGTGCTTGTTATACAGTTTATTATTTTTGTTTTTGATTTTTAATCCTAGACTGATGCCTCCTTAGCGATTAGTTTTCTGAGGACATTTAGTTAATTTCCCAGGTAAGCAAGGAGAATTTGGAAGCCTAATTGCTATGTCAGGGCACTTGACATTCTCTAAAAGTTGCAACTTTCAGTTTCTAAAATTCTCTCCCAAATCTGATAAACGTGGTGCTTAAATACTTTTACAAAATGTTGTGGTGTCCCATTTGCCAATTATTCATAAAGAATATATACTCCTATTTAGAATATACCACCAATATCAAATCAATAGTGTATGTGATGATCCAGGGAAGGAGCGCTGGGCTTGCATGTCCCTTAACTGTCACTTTTTTGTACTTGGACTATTAAGGTAACTTGCTAACTGATTGCTCTGGCTCTAATATTTTATCGATTATTTATTCTAATTAACATCAAATGTATTTTCCTTTTTTTAAAAAAAGTTTTTATTTATTTATTCATGAGAGAGAGAGAGAGAGAGAGAGAGAGAGAGAGAGAGAGAGAAAGGCAGAGATACAAGCAGAGGGAGAAGCAGGCTCCACGCAAGGAGCCCAATGCAGGACTCAATCCTGGTACCCCAGGATCACGCCCTGAGCTGAAGGCAGGCGCTCAACTGCTGAACCACCCCGGCGTCCCATCAAATGTATTTTCCAAACTAACAAGTGTCCCCATATCACAATCCAATTAAAAACCTCCTATTGGCTCCTTGTTGCCCTTAGAATGAATAATGATAGTAGTAATAACATTGGTAATTATGAGAGCCAACACTTCATGAATTTACCCTATGCTAGGCACTGTATACTTCATATACATTTCCTCCTTTACTTTTCATAATAACTGAAAGTTCACAGTTGTGGAAACTGAGGTGTAAAGAGTTTTAGATGATTTATCTAAGATCACATAACTAGTACATGAAGGAACTACCCAAACTCAGATCTGTCTAAAGTTCATACTCTGAGCCATGATACCATTCTGCCTCCACTTCCTAATAAAACACACACTTCTTGGTCAGTCTTCCACAAAATGGAAACTTTGTCCTAATTAACCTCTTGTTCCTTTATAACACGCACCTCCTTCAGCTCAATTTTTGTTTTATTGTCTTAAGATCATATTCCATCTTTCAGTTCTTTGGTTTCCCACTGCTCCCAACTTTTCCATTTTTACTCTTCACATATATTTTGCACCTATCCTCAGTTTCCTTAGTCATTCAGTGAATGGCTTGTTAGTATTATGCACCTGCTGATTGGTCATTATCTCTGTCTCCATAAACTCGCAGACTAGAGAGGGCATCAAATATGGAGGTGAGGCATTCATTCCACACCAGAAGCAGCTGAAAAGAATGAAAATGGCCCTATTCCAGTGCCTAGTACTCAAAAAAAGTGTTGGTAGAGATTCAAAGTCCCAATCACTTTATTAAATCTGATCTTATATTTTCAAGGGTGAATAATCTTATTTCTTCTAGGTAAATTATAAGCTCCTTAAGCATAAAACAAAAACCCTGTCTTTCTTTGCATCACTTTCACTCATACCTTAAATACAGGTTTTGTGTTCTTCCTACTTTTTGTAAGGAATTTCTTAGTGATGTGTATATTAAATAGTGTGAACGCCTATATCTGCAAATATATTTCCAAATATATAGAAGACTCTTATGCTGAAAGATGAAGAGCACTGGCATAGAAACCAGGAATTTAAGGATCAAGACAAAAAGCCACTGGTAGATCAGTGCCATTGATAAATATCCTCTCTGAGGATAGAAGTGATGGTTTCTGCCTCATTGACTCCATAGAATTGTTATGTTAAGCTAATTCATAACAGGAAAGTCTTTATAAAGTATATCCTATACCACTGACCTCAAAGCATCTGTGTATCAGAGTTTAACCAGAGAAACTGAACCAGTAGGAAATACATCTTAAAAGATTTATTGTGAGGGATTGTCTCCCATGATTGTTGGGCTGGTAAGGCAAGTGTGACATCCATAGGATAAGCCATGAGGCAGGCCAGCTGGAATTCTCAAGCATAAGCTGAAGCTGCAATCTCTAAATGGAATTTCTTCTTCAGAGTACACATAGGAATATTTCTAAGGCCTGTCAACTGATTAAATCAGGCCTACCCAGGTTATCTAGGTTAGGTTTTTCTATTTAAAATCAACTGATGGGACATCTGGGTAGCTCAGTCAGTTAAGCATCTGCCTTTGGCTCAGGTCATTGATCCTGGAGCCCTGGGATCAAGCCCCATGGTGCATCAAGCTCCCTGCTCAGTGGGGAGCCTGCTTCTCCTTCTCCCTCTGCTCCTCCCCACTTGTGTTCTCTCTCACACACACATAAATAAATAAAATTTAAAAATAAAAAATAAAATCAACTGATTATGGACTTCAATAATGTTTACAAAATCTTATCAACACCTAGACTAGTATTTGATTAAATAACTAGGGATTGTAGCCTAGCAAATAGACACATAAAACTAACCATCACAGTCCCCCAAACCTTCCTTTTCAACTAGGTCTGAGGCTAGATTATTCTTCATAATGAGACAGATTATATACATAAACAAATATGAGAATTCAATTGTCTTCTATTCATATTTTAAAGAGTTTAGAAAATTCATCACTAATTTTTATGGAAAATATAGTTATTTTTTATAAAATTTCTTTGTATGTTAACATAATGAATATAATATTTTTAAAGAAATGTATAAATTATTTAATTGCTAATTTAGGTTTCTAATACAGTAAATATGGATGGATATAACACATAAATGAAAACTCATTAGGATTCTAAATAATTTTTAAGATTATCAAGGAACCCTAATTCTAAAGAGTTTTAGAACCATAATTCTAAGCAAGTGGAATGATTATATAACCTTACTCATATCAATAAAACAAACACCTCAATAGTTGTCCTTATATTTGGTGTAAATCATTGCAAATATCTTCTCTTGCACAGCATGAAGTAGTGTAAAAACTTGGTCTTACTTTATGAATGTAAAAACTATTTCTCTTCATGTATTGATTTAAACAAATTATTATTCAAAAAATCACAACCTCCTTTTGTGACCTCCTACTGACTTAATCTGATGCTATAAAATACCTATTTGAATTTTGGCTATAAACACTTTCAACATCAGTATTCAATATTTCTAAAACTAAATTTCTACAAATCCCAGTAAGTTATCCCTGCCAAGTTTCCTTATACCACTGTCA